TCAAATAAGTCGGTGAATGATGGACAATCTCCTCTCAGATGAACATAATTGAAACAGCAGAAATGTGGTTCTATAGAGAATATGATAGACTGAACATGTGAGCAACGACGAAGTTTTAGAGTAAATGGAAGCAAAAAAGACATACTTATCAGAAAGAGATATTTGAAATTTCTTGGGAATATGAGTGCTTGGAAAATCTGATACTCACAGAGAAATTGAAGGACGGAAAAACAGCGCATAACTTGAGTAAATGGATGGCAGAGCAGGGATCAGGAGAGATACCGAAAAGACAAAAAGGACAGGAAATTGTGAAGAGCCATGATCGAATTCTAGTCGAGTTCATTACATTCACTTACGTGCTAATACCCTTGGGGAATGTATGAATTCATCTCCTGTATGGGTAAATAGCAGGACAGACTGGGTTCTATAACAGTGGAGAATATGGCGTATAAGAATCGAATATTATAAGCAAAAGCATCGATTTCGCCTCCTGTTAAGATGAACCCTGACCTTTATTTTAAATTAATATCTCTTCACCAGGATGACGGCACAGATAAAATTCTTTAGCAGTAACCTAATCGCCTTTCGCAATGGTTACGAAATAATCTTAGGTTAAGTATTTACTCAATATCAGAGTAATTTTTTTTATTTACTAAGCTTAGATCGACACATGAATAAAACTCTCCCGTCGATTTCTACGCATGAGAATCCGATAACCTCATTAGTTTTTGTTTGTGTCGTATGTGACACTTCCTTCTAGTTAGTGACCTGCATACAAGTCCACATATTATGCAACAGCGAGGATCTCGGGACAGAGCAACAGGAATACTTGCTAACGCTTTTCGCCGTTGTCTTTCGTCTCTTAGTCGGTCAATGATTGATTTTGATATCTCCAGTTATTTCTACGTAGGGAAATTCGCTCGAAGTTAGTCATATATTGAGAGATGAGAGGTTAGTCTTTAGCTCGTGTTTATACCTGAACCACAGTCATCCAACAGTCCTTTGGCCACTGTCAAACTGGCTATACATGAGGACCTTAGGTATTCTGTCGTCACTAATCCTTGCAACATGACCATCCCAGTGAAGTTCCGACTGCATCACAAAAGTCTTAATTCCACTAATGTTGCATTTTGAGAGATTGGATTTCCTATCGTCAAAAGTATAGCCACAGATCAAAGGGAGACAACATCCAACTGATTGATATGGAACATATATATGATGTCCCATATCAATCAGATGTATTTCCACCTTTCCTCCCCGACCCCACACTCTTGGGAGGCTTGGAAGTGCTGTGTCTAAACCCTTGACCGTTGCTATCGATTTAAATTTTTCGGGTCGAGCCATCACTTTAACACCTCAACAATACTTCACCAAACTGCTATCAACAAGCACTATTGTCTGTCACCCTTTTTCCTTTCCTATCTTTACCCTTATACGTCCCCTCTTAAGATGTTTCCTTTTTTTTCTTTCAAACAAATAGAAAAAAAAGGGATGTTCCACGAGCGGCCTGCTTATAAACAGAATTGTTCATAACCATTTTGGTTCTCACCAGTCGAAGTGCAACTAAATGTACCGAAACGAAGTTGCATCTTTGTAGTGAGTAAATTGTTTTTATCTAAATGAAAAAAATTATAATTATTGCTCTACTCTCGGTATTGTGCCCTCTTTTGAATTAATGTTGTGCATGTTAGAATTTATATATTTCGTTCTCATTACATTCGGAGATTATATATATATATATATATATATATATATATATATATATGCGGTACTTAGTGGAAAGGGCTCAATATTTGTGATAGAGCTAACATATTCAGTTGCATGAATATGTGTTTGTAACCCTGGGTTATAAACTCATATCCATACAATTGAATATATATAACTTTATCAGTTGTAAAATGCTTGGAAAATTTGATACTCAGTTAACCTCTATATATATTTAGTTACATGCACAAAGCAAACTTTGTTCTGACTGATAAATGACCGTTACATAATTTAAATTTTGATAGATATACCGGACTATAACGATATCGCCGTCCATATTATTTACTCAATGTGCGATAAGAATTAAACAAAGAAATAAAAAAAGAATAAATGCGCGCGCGCATACACACACGTATTTATACAGCAATTTTTCATTAATGCATGTTTCATTAAATAATATAGACAAGTTTTGTCCATTTATTTTAAGTAAGTTCCTTTCATATTGTCTGATAAGCTTTAATAACATTATCATTGAAAGACGAAAGGAAATCACCATATTGATGCATGTTTAAATCCAATCTAAGCTTTCGGCTTACATAAGCCATTATCAAAGACAATTACTTTTCAATATATCAACCAATACACGGACGAAACAATATTGATTGTCTGTTTTTGTTGCATGAAAAATTTCAAAGCAACGGCTAACTCGTGTATACGAGACGCGGAAGCAAAAATCGCGTCGCAGCTCGTGACGTCACACATGACCACGCGAGAGTGAAAACGAGAAGTATTACGTATGGTAAGTCGTTAGTATAAACTAATGGCTTCTGTTATCAATTATAGGCATTTAAGAATATTTGTGGAGATTTCGTAGTTTATTTTGTTCAGGTTAGGTTTCAACTGTTTTATGTATATAGCTTCAAGAATTTTTAGTTTCTGTTTATTGTTTTCATGTTTAAGTATAGTTGTGTTTTCAACAAGGATTTTCCTGAATTGCGTACGCGGCCAGGCATGTTTCCTTTCGTCTTTCAATGATAATGTTATTAAGCTTATCAGACAATATGAAAGGAACTTAAAATAGACAAAACTTGTCTATATTATTTTAATGAAATATGCATTAATATATCTGTGTATGTGTATCAAATATGTGGTGCAGTTCAATTTATATTACAATGAATCATTCATACAAAAATTAAATTAGTAAAGTTAATGATATAAAATGGCGAAATCCCTTCACTAACAAAATTTTTAAGGTGCATTAACCTACCAATCACTCGATGAATGTTATGATCCTTGTTTTTTTAACATTTTTAAATTTATGTTTTTATATCTACCGAACTGTAATTTTACTCAATGACAGTTAAGTCATTTTGAAGCGAGCTACGTCGCGACGTTAGAGTTCTTGTTCAAATGAATAAAGTGAGAATTTTTTAATGTAATAAATCCACGAAATATTGTTGTTATATAGGTTTTTCGGTTAAAGTGGCATGGACTTAAGTTTAATCCAATTTACAGAGTAAAATGGATTAGTATTTTTCCACAGAATTTAAGATTCTGAATTTACGTGCTGCGAGTCTTAATTTTTGATTTGAACAAGAACTCTAGTGTCGCAGTATCGCACGCTCCCAAATAATACAACTGTCAATAAATAGCATATTAAAAATATTTCGGTTTACTCTACACATATTTTGTCTTGGTATTGAAAAAAAAAATTGCGCCCCGAAGATGTCAATTTGAAATTGTTGAAAGTACTTGGATCATCAATTCCATCTGATGACATCTCAAATATAAGGATTAGGGATCGTATTATTCAGTGAATTGATAAGTTAATGTCTCATTAAGTATTGTTAGCGAAGTGATTTCGCCATTAAATCAGATTAACATTGCTAATTAATTCGTTGTATAAATTACTTCTTTATAATATAAAAGCTGCACACTAATAAATAAATGATAAAACGCATGCACACGCCGACGAGCAAGCACAGTGCAAGAAGAAAAAAGAAAAAGCTACTTGTACCAATGAAAAGTGCATAAACCATTTTTCAACGGAATATAAAAGAAAAACGAGGAAATAAACAGTCAGTTGCCGATATCCCCTGAGGAGTGGACGGAGTGATTGCTGGCAGGTCCACCTACGGAACTCTATAGTCGGGATGCTGAAGTGACAAAGTTTTAATTATATTAATTCTTTATATATATATATATATATATATATATATATATATAATTACATACAATAGGAACTTAAAATTGCCTCATAGTTATGATCATTTCACCTTGCAAGTTAAGATTTACTTACAAGGATTTTCAAACCGATGAAGATAAGTAGATTTTATTTTATCTTATTACCTTGATCGATTTGGAAATGTTTGCAAGTAAATCTTAACTTGTAAGGTGAAAGGATTATAACCGTGAGGTAATGTTCAGTTCCTATTGTATGTAATTTATATGCTCTGTTAGAATAAATACATTGAGCTCTCTTTGTGGAGGATCAGTTTTAATATTTTATATTATTAGAATTCACTTGGAATATATATTATTCGACGTATGAGGGTCAAGCAGACCAGTTCCTAGGAAACCCACAGCCCGACAATAGCACATGAAATTTGATTATAGTGGTGAAGGTTTCGTGCAGGACCATCCACATTTTTTGAAGGGCCGAATACAGAGACCTGGTGCACTACGTGCCACAAGGTCCCCAAACGACCCTCCACAGGTTTTGATTTCAGAGTTGTCCTTCTCCTAGACAAGTTGACATCCAAGGCTATAGAACCCAGTCTGTCCTGCTATTTACCCATAGCTGGAGGGAGAAGAGGATTTACACCTTTCCCAAGGGTATTAGCACGTCAGTGAATCTAATGGATTCGACTAGAATCCTCAATCGAAGCCATTATCCATTATTCCACCGTGCCTCCTTATATATATATATATATATATATATATATATATATATATATATATATATATGCGTGGTACTTATTGGAAAGCGCTCAATATCAGTGATAGAGCTATTTAGTTGGATTGATGCGAGTTTGTGACCCCTTGTCTGACGATCGCAAAGGGCGTGAAACCGAGAGTCACAAACTCGCATCAATCCAACTAATTATGTGTGTGTGTTTAGGAGAGAGAAATTTTATTAAGAGCTACAAAGGATAGGAAATTGTGGAGATCCATGATCGCCAACGTCCTGAAGAGACACAGCACATTGACAAGGAATATCTTTAAGCAATGCACTCGTTTCTGGCAGCATTCATGAATCTAGTTCCACGTTCTCTTGCGTAGAAATGAAAGCGTACACAGGGAGGTATATTAATCCGTCGGAAGGGTAGATGGTCGGAGCGGGCGGGGGGTGGCGGTGGTTTACAGCTCGAGATGAAGTTGGCTGTAATATAAACGGACGGAGTGGGTGAAATGTGGGAATTGGGTGGAGAGCGACCGGGAAATGATGTTGGCAAAATAATAAAAAGCCAGCAATGAGAACGGCTATCAGTGCCAAGCCCGTTTCGTGCGTTGGCGCTGAAGACCATCAAAGCCCAAGACAGGCGGGAAGAGGCGAAGTCTATTAACAAAATGACTTCGCCACCATCTATTTAATTGCAGACAGAACTCTTTCGATATTGTTATTTGCTGATCAATCCGTAGTGTTACACAAGGCGACGTGAGGCAAGTTCTCTCTAAAGTATGAACTCACAATGCTAAGCTAGTTCGCTGTTAAATACTAGTAGGACGTCCTCCCTATACCAAAATACTAGTAGGACGTCCTCACTATACCAAAATACTAGTAGGACGTCCTCACTATACCAAAATACAGACTTGTCAGCTAAAGAGGTGCGATTAGCTTAACGGTTATCGATGTAGAAAGTTAATTCGACATGCAGAGTTCAATTCCCGTTTTATTCTTTTTTTGTTTACTTTGTGACAATGCCCTTGGAAAAGAGCATGAATTCACCTTCCTTCAGCTATAGGTAAAATAACAAGGTACACTGACCTCTCTTGCCTTCAGATGGCAACCAGTCTAGAATAAGGAAAACTGAATTCAAAATCAGTCTGAAGAGGGATTAGCACTGTTATAGCCGAAATACATGTGGTTTCCTTACGATCCTAATGAGTTATGGGGACTTGTGACGAATGACAGCTAAATTTAGATCTTGAATTTCTATCGTATAAGAGAGGAGCATTGGTTTAAGTACATTGACAAAAGAGACTATTAAAAGATGAGATGGGAACATATCAGGTTAATATTGCGGAAGGAAATGACGCGATTGAAAGGGTCAATATTAGTCCACTCCGCACGGGCCCAGAGCTAAGTCGGTTTAGCAATTTGGTAGGCTTATCAGATTGTGCAAGAGTAATGAAACAAAACATGATCCATTCATTGTAAACCTTCTCTACTAACAGACAAACAATTAGTAAATGTAGTTATTTACATTATTTACCATTGTCATATTCAGTGTTTCGGCCGTTGTACGCTCCAGCCTTCTTCAGGAATGCGTTGGAATTTCGAACCGATCCCTTTATTTAGTCCACTGGGGTAGGTTGTTCTCGTTCCACATGTCGTGCCTTTTTCTGGATATCTCAGTTTCAGTTATTTCCCTTTAGTAACTCAATTCTCCAGGTCTTTGTTCACCTTCGGGAGTAGAGTTACTAAAACTAAATATCCAGAAAAGGTGTGGAACGAGAACAATCAACCCCAGTGAAATAAAGAAAGGATTCACTAGAAATATCACCTGAAGATCAACGCGTACAACGGCTGAAACGTCGTGAATATGACAATAAAGATGAGGAAAACAGTTCGAACAATGTAAATAGTGTAAATAGTTCATTACCGTATCCCAGAAATGGTGGAATAATGGATAGCGGCTCAGATTGGGGAATCAGAGTGCCGAGTTCAAATTCCAGGCGAATCCATTACATTCACTTACGTGCTTATATCCTTGGGAAAGGGTATGACTCCACTTCTTCCCCCTAGCTATGTGTAAATAGCAGATCAGACCGGGTGCTATAGAAAGAAATGGCAAACTACTGCGGGGAAAAATCTGCCCCCGTCAGTCATGTATCGAAAGATACATGATCGCCTAAGCGTGTATCACGCATGGCACATAACTGACTGACTGTAGTCGAAATAGATCTTATGCATAAATAAGACCAATCAACCACAGCGGACTAAAAGGGTTCGGTTCGAAATTCCAACGTATATCACCTGAAGAAGGTTGGAGTGAAACGTCGTGAATATGACAATGATGAGGAAGACAATGATCTGAACAATGTAAATAGTGTGAATAGTTACAATCTCAGAAATATAGACAGATGTGGTAAATGTGGATAAAAATAGAGTTTGATCAAAATCAAGTTGAACGACAGAATGTGTACCTGAAGAACAGTTTGAAAATCTGTAAAGTAACAGAAATGAAAAAAGAACATCTAACAACTACACTATTTACATTTTTCGGACTATTGTCCTCATCTTTGTTGCTATATTTATCCCAACGTTTATCCACTGTGCCATGTGTCCTTAAGTCATTTCCGCTCCTCTAAAATAAAATGGGTTTTTAATGTCTACTCTTAGTACACTGACCTATCTATATTTCTGAGATGAGGTATTATGTACACTATTTACATTATTCAGACTATTGTCCTCATCTTTGCTGCTATATTTATCACAACGTTTCAGCTGTTGTACGCTCCAGCCTTCTTCAGGTGGTTGGGGTGTCGAATTGAACCCTTTATTTCGCTCGCTGGGGTAGACTGTTCTAGTTCCACATGGCATATCTAATGGATGTCAGTTATCAGTTAATTCACCTCTCCAAGTTCTCCACTGCCTTAACCAGGTATTGAACTCACATCTCTTTGGGTCCTGTCACTGGATCTAACCTGGACAGATGGCACAGTGGATAAAGGTGTTGGTTAGATCCAGTGACAGGACCCAAATAGTGTGAGTTCAGTACCTGGTTAAGGTAGTGGAGAACTTGGAGAGGTGAATTAACAGGAGATAACTGACATCCATTAGACGTGGCACGTGAAAGTAGAACAGTCTAACCCAGTGAGCGAAATAAAGAGTTCTGTTCGACATTCCAACCACCTGAAGAAGGCTGGAGCGTACAATGGCCGAAACGTTGTAATAAATATGGTGTCAAAGATGAGGACAATAGTCCGAATAATGTAAATAGTGTACATAACACCTCATCTCAGAAATATAGACATATAACAACTACCCTAATTTGTGGTGATGTGAGCATAGCCTGAAATGGTTTGAACCTACGTTTTGAAGATCAAATGTTGATCAAGTTGAAAGGTTCGATTACAGGAGCAACTTGAAAATTTAGTATAGTAACCTGTATGAATAAAAGGAAAATCAGCACTACTTAATTTCACTGGTCCGTTCGTTTAGAAATTCGGGTTAATTTTTGTAGCTTAGCTTTCATTAAACCTTTTACCTACGGTGTTTGTGAGAATTGGGAAATATTAATTTGTTTGATGATTTTAGAAAGGGCGTCCCTGTTCATAATAATATAATATCAAATTGACCCCAGAGTTTTTGAAGAGGAGTTATCTGTACTTTGTTTTTATTTTCAAATGTCATGTTTGGAACTGTATTTACGTCATCGAAAAACGATTAATAATAATGTAGTTTATCCCAATTCGTCATAGTATATAATCAATGACATAAGCATTTTTTTTTTTTTTTTAGATGAGAAAGGTTGAATGAACAATTTAGCATGTCAGATAACTATTTAAAATGCCAGGTATCGGTTTGATATTGTATTTATACAGGCCCAGGAAAAAAAAAAAGCGGTAAATTCAGAAAGACGAGAGACAACTGGTGACGACTGATGTGACTGAAAAAATCAGGAAGAATTTCTGCACATTTCTTTAATCCCCACATCGGATATTCGTTTTTGAAAAGTACGGTAACTTGACTTTCAAAATCAGCGAGTTATTTAGCCATACGAGAAGGGTAGAATGAAAGGCGAAAGTTGTCTGCAAATAATCCTTAAATGACGATTTACAAAATTGGGCAGCAAATAATCAATCATAAAAGAACCAATTAGAGTTAAGTAATCACGCGAGTGTTGAATGAATATTCAAGGTTATGAATATTCAAGAAATTTATTCAAGGTTATTCAAGGTCAATTATTCCTGAAAGATAAAACAGGGATAATAAATTTGCCGGTTTTTTAACATATTATGAACAGGACCTCCCATCTAAGAAGAAAAAAAGATCTGTATATTTGATTCTGATAAATTTCGTAGATTGAAGGTTTAATGGATGCTCGTCTACAAAATTCGTTTTAAAAAATCCTTTCCTATTTTGCGTAACGCCAGAAATTCTAGCAACTCCGTTAATTCATTGTGATATAAGCAACGTCAAAGAAATTTTAAAACGTACGATGTTAGGACTTCGCAAACCTATCTCCAGGTCTCCTCCGCTAATTGTTGAACTGTACGGCCGAAGTCGGCTGGTACATCCAAGCCATTTCAGAAGAGAAGGGTTGAATGAACAATTTAACATGTCGGACGCTGGTAGGAAGCGAGTTGATACTTGTTCTCGAGCCAAGAAGAGGTCAATATTTGTTGGACAATGCCCAAGTTTTGAGGATGATCAGTGAAGAGGTTAGAAGCTGGTCAAGTGCCGGTCAGCGTGTTGATACTCTGGAAATATTGCATGCCTCCAGAAACATTCGCTGGTTAAACGAACCGAACTGTTAATTTGAATATGAGTTTATACAGATACATCACAATTTATTGGTTTTCGCTTTGATTTCTCCCCCAAAGAGAATATAAGCATAAAATTATTTTTTTTAGGCAACAAAGATTTTTTATTATGATGTCATTGGACACTTCGATGTGATTCGAAAGCTTATCTCGCAAAATCAATTACAAGTGGGTAGCGAGTTCGAACTTTACTGGACGCTCCTTACTAAGCTACAACTAAGCTACGCTTCATAAATCACTTATGACGTAATTGGGAATCGGAGTTTCGATGTGATAAGTCAGATAACTGTCTGTGTAATGGAATCGGCCAACAGAGTTCGAACCCTGTTTTAGGTAGCTTTTGTTAACTTCGTATTAATTTCCTCCTGTATACACTTTTTTCATCCCCTTATGCAGTGAAAATGGTATCGTTACAAACACGTCACAATTACTAAGTGAAAATTCAAAAATAACCTGTAACAGTTGCAGAGAGAGATATTTCCGTGTCGCATTCATTCAGGACATGAATTATAATGGCTCTCTAAAAGTTCTTCATTGTGACCCTTAGAAGTTTTTTTTTTTACCTTTGCTAAGTCTTCCGCCTCATTTTCGTTCCTCCACGTCGTCACACAAGCTCGTCAAGGAGGTGGTTCATTGCCTTCACCTATATCTCTTGCTCTCAATAGGCCACGTGAGAGTTAAATTTTCCAAACCCTTCTTCCTCATTACGTTTCTAAAGTATTTCAATTGTTTCTTCCTGGTTCTATGTATGAGTGTTCGGATATTTTCTGTAAATTTACCCCCAAAATAAAAATTTATATTTACTAAAATTCAC